CCCCAAAACCCCAAAACCCCAAAACCCCAAAACCCCGCTTTTGAAGTTAATAGTTGAAAAATGTTTTGAAACTGGTCGTACTGAATTGTTTAAGAAGCTACAAAGCCATACTTTATATGGAGCAGGGTTTTAGGGGTAATAGAAGCAAAAATTAGGCTAGCGTGCTTCTTCATCGTTAATAGACGCAGCTTATAAGCTCTATATGTGTCATAAAGACCTATGATTTGAGAACATGAGACTTGGGCATGCTAATATACCTAATTACCTCTATTCCTTCTCATCCCTGTCATCTTTGAAGCAATGAGGCTTTTCTATTAAAAATCTTGCCATCAATATTCAAGAGAGAAGGCGTGATTAATTTTTGGTTAAAAGTAGGCTAAAAATTAGAATCTGATATCAATCCTAAAGCTCGCTTGTTGCACTAAACCTTGAAGTTTAAATTATGTTACTGAGTTCTGTAGCTTGGGAGTATAATTGCACTCAATTTAGCCTACTACAAGGTTCAATAAAATGATGCTTCAAAACAATTTTTATACTAGACTTTATTGAAAGAAACTTCAAGGTTAATCTAGAAAGTGAAGGAGCGATTTCAAACTAATCCATATTGGCTAAGTTTTTACTGGACCTCACAAAGCCCTTTACAAGCTAAAGGCAATCAGAGGTCTATGAGATGTATCTGTCCTTTATAAATAAGTCTGGAACCCACAATAGGATCCTTGGGAACACCATATGTACCTTAGACAGTTATGAAGATGCCATCTAAACATCCCAGATTCTCATTCACTAAAATCCGAATTACTAATAATTCGGAGATTTTTCCAATAAGCTATTCGCTAATATGCCTGTTGAAAATCTCGGTGAGGTTATAAGAGACCTTCAGGCATCTTATAACTTGAAAGTTTCGAACTTTTTGAAATTTTATGAAACAAGATAACAACACCATCCAGGCCAAGGTACAAGCAACGAGCGATGTGTATTATTATATCCCATTGCTCTGCCCAGACGGGTTTAATTATGTTTTCTCTGGTTTAAACCTTGCATGCACGCTATCTCTTACATCAACGACAAGTCATGAGTCGGGGTTCTAAAAGTAAAGTGTTAGGATTAGCTTCAAGGAAAGAAATCATGCTGAGCATTTGTAAAATTCACTTAAAAATAGCAAAAGGAAGTTTACATCAGGATTAGATAAGGTCAGGATTCACCAAGCAAGAGTAAGCCATCGGAAAGTAGTACTAAGACACTTATCTAATCCTACAGTAGGTCTTCCAGCAGTGATCTCAGGTAGATGCTGGGCATCTCCCAGAGCCAACCTAGGGCCTTGGGCAAGTTATCAGGATCCATAAGAAAATCTGGTGAGAAAGAACATCAGAATTATAAATATGAGTAATCCTTGTTTTAAGTCATAGATTTGGCTAACAGGACCAAGCAAAGGATTATATTTTCCGAACTATTCAGAAGAAATTCTGTTTTTAAGAACTAGTATTTAAACAATGTCGAACTGGCCTTTTGCTAGATTCACTAGTTTTTCAATGTGTAGAGGGAGGAATAAGCTTCAGTTAGCTGAATAGAAACTCATACACTACAAATTATAATCTCTACAATATCTCCAACACAAATGAATCCAGTAGGCTTATGGGCAAAAACATATTATGACTTCCAAAAGGGGTCTGAAAAAGCTGATTTATTGATTCCGGCAGAACTAGTTGAACTAGTAGGCTTGTCCTTCCAGAATTAATCTGAGATTTAGTACTATCAAAAAGCTGGTTAATAACACCTCATTAAAATTTCAGGGTGGTAACCCTAATCCTAGACTTCCTAGAGGAAACCTCTAAATAAGAAAATCTGAGCAAGAATCCTATTAGTTCTGCTAATTTAAATTTTTTGTCAGAAAGGACAGATACTAAAGCTCATGGAAATGTGATAAAACAGGACAATGATGCTATGTTTAGGTGAAAATAGGAGATAAATCTCTCCTCCTAATATGAGGAGATTAAACTCAAGTAAACTCAAGAGGGTTCAGAAATTTCAATTGCTATCTCCTTCACTTTCCATGATGGCAAATATTAAGCAACGTTCAGCTCTAAAATCATCTGCATAATAATATGGATGAGGAAATGGGAATCTTTCCAGCCATTTAAGGCATCCTTAATCACCTGGATAAGGACTAAAAGTGGTCTACTTACAAGGTATTAAACTTGAGCCTGCTCTTAGCTGTTTCTAGATTATGTAACCCCATATACTTATGATATATGGACTTGCCAAGAAGTCTCCATCTCCTTCAGGTTCCATCAAACTCATGGATGTAGTATGCTCCAGCTATTAAGAACTTTTTCTTAGTATCTGTGAAGATTACATTCCTCATCTCAAAGAAATCAGCTTGCTTTAGAGGAGAGTCATCATCCTTTATGAGGATGTTCAAGTCAACATCGTAGATGTACACGTCATCGTACTTCAAGTTATTCTTTTGGCCTCCAAAGATCATGATTTCTGTACTGTTAAGTGGAACTCAGGAGATATAGTTCTCTGGTTCTAGAATACCAACGTCAAATTCTATATCTTCCCAGTACATTGTGTTCCTCATTTCAGAGAATTTGATCCGTTCAAAGGAGGTTTTTGAATAATTAATGTTGTTTGGCCGATGTCCACCAAATGCATAGAGGTATGTCCCGTTGAACTCTCAAAGTGAAGCTCCATATCTCTTTTTATTCAAAATTGCAATCTCCTCTAACGTATTCGTGTGGATATTATATCTGCTACAAGTCACAGTAGCTTGGTTGCTTATCTGAAGTTTACCTCCAACAATATAGATCTGACCATTGAAGGATTCACAGCCGAAAAGTTTACGGCCTTGCTTCATGCGAATTCTCTTTACCATCTTCTCTTTATTTTTCTTTAAACTCCCATATAGCAGGTGGAGTCTGATCATGGGTGTAGCCACCTACGATGAAGACGCGATTTTCAGGTTTCACTCAGACGACCTGTTGCCCAATAGTCGACTTTCATTTAGTGACCATGCGGTAAGAGGTCCAATAGCTGCCAACATTGTATATTTGTAGTACTTTTTGAGCAGGTTTATAATGATAAATTCTGTTTGAAAACTCAACCTTATAGATGAACTTTGGGATAATAACATTGTAAAACCTTCTAGACAACAGCTGCAGTGAAATTATCACCTCTTTCTCGAGGTAGGACAGCGTCACACTGAAAGCACTAGAGTGAATGAATTCATTCTTTCCCATCTTACTAAAAATATTATATAATTTAGTCAATTCTAATTGTTTTCATTTTGTTCCAGTTGAGACGGGGTTTTGGGGTTTTGGGGTTTTGGGGTTTTGGGGTTTTGGGG